ATATTCAAGAAAAAGTTGCTAGTATGAAACGTAGCCGAATTTCATGAGTTTTGAACTCATAGAACTCTCAAAAACGGAGTCACGAAACACAGACAACTCTAAGAGCTTAAGAGTTTGTTTAAATTTAGGTAATAGATAAATCCTACTGTTTCAAAGGAAATTAACATCATCATATTCTGCTTACCCATAGATTCTAAACAATTGCAGTAATATTCCATATCCAGACATCTAAGATATTAGAAATGTCACGAAAGATGAGAAATATACATTACAATCTTTTCCATGAATATTCAAATATGTGTGTAGAGGAAACTCACATCCTTACAATCGAGCCCGTAACCATACCTATACTCTTCCGAGAGTTTCAGAAGTTCAGAATTCACGGAATCCAGTCACTGCTATTAGTTAGTGTATATAGGAAGCTTAAGCAATTGAATGCAATAACTATACATCATGTTAGTCTTCTGTCCAAAGCTACAACTAGTATTAGTTGTAAGGAAGATATCGAGCTAATAAATCTGCTACTAGGCATCAACACTCTCACAAAGACAACAATTTGATTTACCATCATCAGGTATTCTATTATTTTTAATCCATGTTCCACAAACAAATTGATAAAAATCTTCGCATGGTTCAACTGATTGATCAAGACTATCGACGAGATAATTAGCTAGTATAGAAAAATAATATTTTTTTGTTTTCTTTTTGTTTTTTATCAAATTAACATTTACCTGCTTTGATACAATATGGATTCAAACATAAATCATTATTAACTAAAATAAAATAAAATATTTCGATATACACATTATTAAATCAATACCATCTGCAGATTTCGTGGTTTTTGCACGAGCAAGAAGAACAGTCAATACAATTGTAGAAATAATAAACATACCGAGAAGAATACCGATTAGTATAAATAGTATTTTTGAACGTACTTCAAATGACGATGTTTCACTATAAACGGAGAAAAAAATTCAAAATTTTTATATCGTATTAGTTTCTCAAAAGATATTTTATACGTGAGCTGTTTTAATGTTCCAACAATTGATTGATTAGCCATTTAGTAATGTTTTTGAAAAAAATACTCTACAATTATTCAAATCAACGTAAGAAAGATTGTAATTATAGATGTATCGATATTATTTTGATGACACAATTTTGATAAAATCAACGATTCATATCGTTCTTATTTTACAAATACTATAGTGCAAATAGATGTTTTCGTGAGAATTTTAATGATGAGATACAAAATAAATGAACATTATCATGTATATTTCATCATTTCAAAAAAAAAAGACGAACAACATGATGTCTTATTACTCAAGCTATTACTTCACTGAAATTCTAATGAATTTAATAATTAGTTAGATATCTACTCTCAGATTTTGTTTCTTTCAGCTGTTCATAAAACTATATCGAGAGATTACTAGAAGTTACTTTTTTGGGATTTATTATATCTTTTTAAAGTTTCGAAATATCTTTTTTTTTGCTATATCATATCGTATGGAAGTATGATATCTTTTATAAGATAATTGTATTACAGAGATTGTCATACAAACTCCTTAACATTAAATTATTACTTAGTGAATCGTTTTTCTGCCAGCGGACCTATTCGATATATATATATATATTGACACTACCCTGTATCTAACTCTCTAACATAAATAGATCCCTCACAAGATCAATTTATATCATTAATCAATGTTCTAAGATTTTTAAGCATCGAGTAGCTTAGTGATTAGAATGATAACTTCTCAGTTCGAATCATTATTCGATTCATTTTTTGTTTCTGTTACTCAGCATTTTGTTTTGATTAATATGTCACAAAAAAGAATCCTATTAAAAGCTCTTACCAGATAATACCGAATAATTATATTCTAATAGATTTATTCTGCATATATTATTCTTTCAACAGGTATATTATAAAAAACATTCACACTCTCAAGTTCTAATAAATTCCGACACAGAAATAAATACTGTAGTTTATTTATAAAAAATCTCGAAAACTTAAGTTTTGGAAGCTACTATAGCCTGTACGGATCGAGATATTCGAATTTCAAGGTATTCACAGTCTATGAGGATTATCATAGCTAGGTATCTATATTGTTCGACACTTACTCAAAATTTACTGTCTTCAAATCTAAATATCATCAGCTATGGAAAGTCACTGATGATTGTTTATCTAGAATCACTCGTCGGATAATATGCTAATTAAATTGTGACATACACCTACTCTTGTCGATACTATGTAGTTGAGCACAAGAATTTCGAGTCAGGCTATCCTTTTGTGAAGAGCTACACCTAGTATTAGTTGTAGTGAAAATATTAGACTATTGGATCTGCCACAAGGCAACACCTCATACCACAAGGTAGCCGAAAGACAGGGGCCCCTCTTTTTTCGCTCGTACAGTCTATGTAACATGCTCACACTCCAAAAATGCACTGGTTTTTTGTTTTTTGGTTTTTCGTCATGGTTGAGTAGAGCTGAGCGAGTATACGCATGAAAACACGATATCACCTATTCAAAATCAGTTTTACAAAAAAGAGTGTAAGATACTATCATGACTAATGAGAAGGATAGTAAACAAAAAATGCTAAGTGCAATCAAATTACTTTTGAATATATTTAATATGATGTTTTTGTGTTTATATTGCTGTGCTCTATTCAACCATGACGAAAAACTAAAAAACAAATAACCCGTGCAATTTTGAAGTTAAAGGTCCTAACATAATATCTAAATATCTTGAAATTCGAATATCTCGGTTCATGGATGCTATGAATAATTAATATTTTAAATTAATAAGTTTAGTAGTGAGACCATTCATTTGATACAAATACAATCAATCTCCTTAATTTATATTAGACGACTTTTAATTGTTAGGTCTCAATATCAATGACAATCGTTGAAATTGTAAATCTAAATAGAATTTTAAAATAAGAATACTTGTCATAATTGTAGCTCAGCGATGTTGCATATACTATTAAATTTCAAATCTTTCCGACAACAAACGGCCAATATAACTGCTTGATATTCTCTTGTAGAATTTCAAAGCTCACGAAAAAAAATCTTATGTCTATATTCTTATTCAAATCAGAATTAATCATTATTCTTTTACTACGTTGCACAAAACTAGAACAACGCATATATTTTTATGTTTCACTACTCTTTGTCAGTATCAAATATTTCATATAAAACAATTAGAAGTTGCACAAAAAAGAAAAAAAAAACTTTGCACATAAAAACAAAAAAGTAAATAATTAGCAAAACGAAAAAAAAAAGAAGTAAATATAAACTAAACGTCATGAGTCAAAAAAAAACAAAGAACGAATTTGTCATCAAAGAAGAAGATCACTTTGATGGAATGTATAAGAATAGAATACATATGTACAAAAGACGAACAAATATAAGAGATTCGATAATAAGAAAAAAAAAGGAAAGTTTCATTCAACAATAAGTTCAAAATGAACACTACCACGTTTAAATTCCAAACTATCATTATGCTCAATATTTCGTGCATAAGCACGACATTCAACATTAATTAAAACATTTGTTTCAATTTTTTTAAAATAAACAAAAATTAATGGACTACGATAACCATCTTGATTAACAAATGGAAAAAAATTCCGATGAAATCCACCTATTCTTGTTGTATTCATTTGTGAAAAATATTCGATTTCAAAGATAAAATCTCGATCAACATCATTTTCTCCATTACATTCAACTAATATATAATCAGAAAATTCACTTTCCCATATAGCTAAAATATTTCAAAAAACAAAAATAATAATTTTAAAAAATCATATTTTATTAATTTACCTTTAAATTGTTCAGGTACTTCAGCAGCATTTTGATATGTAATTGGTTCCCAATCATATATTTTATTAAGTTTTAAAAGAACACATGGACGACCAAAATTATATTCAAAATTTCTTTGTGTAACACATGGTGTTTGACGATTTCGAAACATATTTATATCAAAACGACATGATTTACCATCATAAAATTGTGGACGAAGTTTATCAATTGAAACACCATCACAATCAATTGCTCGTTGATATCGAACATCAGCTTCAGTATAATAAGCTAAAAATTGATCTAATTGTTCTTTATATTCACCCCAACCATAACGATGACCCCATGTATCACGATGTGACGAACGATATTTTATTAAAGTTTTTTGAACACTTACTTGAGGACGAAAACCAAGACCTTAAAAATATAAAAGTTCTTTTTTTACAAGAGAAAAAAACATTTTTTGTTTTTTTTTATTTTACCAGGATTTGGTCGAGATGTATCTAAAGCAATAGCACTTGAATTTCCTCTATATGGTGGTATACGTTTATCAACAATAGCCATAAAAATACCAACAAATGATGCAAATACACCAGCCATAAACATACACCATACAAAATAGAAAAGAGCTATTTTAGCCCATCCTAAACCATCTCTTCCACAAACTTCACGATATTTTGGATTATAACACCAAACACGAAAATTATGCCATTGTTCATCCCATGTTAATTCATCATCTTTAACAATTATTTCTTCTTTATTTAATGCCGATTTATCTGACATTGAAAATGGATAAGATTTTACAGATGCTGACATATATGTTGAATCAGCTGCCATATTTTAGATTCAACAAATTCTTTAATTGAGCAAATATTACAAAAAAAAACAACAACAAAGAAACGAGTCAATTAATTCTTTATTTTAATAGACAACGCCATTATTATAGTCATACGAACTCAAAAATCGAACTGTTTGTCATATGATAGAGGTCGCTCATGAACATCATTTATAGCGAAGTACAGATAGAAGTAGGGAAGAGAATTTACCGTTATGCTACTAGTTATCAGGTGACAAGGTACAGAAAATGCGTAGGTTTCATTCTTTCATCAATGAATGTTGAAGAAAAATTACAATCGCTTATAAAGTTTGTTACAAAGATTTTTTTCGGTCGAGAAAATTTGACCAAGAAATGAATTATATAATTTTAAAAAACCGATTACAGATTCAAATTCCTTAAATCCACGAATTTTCCGTTCCCTTGCTACTCGACAACTGATAAAGGTGTCACGAGGAGGAAATAGCAGGGACTTCAATCTTAAAATCTATTGTTTTTCCCCCATTACCGAATAACTGATAATTTTTTCATTATCGTTACCGCATAACACAATTGGCTGGTAATGCTAACTTTCAACTCCTAGATAAGAGCTGATTTATCACTTAGATATGAATCGATCTTTTTAATGATTTTCTTATTAATTATATTATAGAAAACGGATTTTATTATCAGTATCAAAAGAATATGAACCCAGATTTAAGTGATTTATGATGAAGCATTCTCCGCTACACGCTCAACAGTTTACATTGAAGAAAACTCGAATCATTCACATATTAGATTGAAATATAGTACTTGATGTATTATTGAAAAATACGAAGAGAATTTTATTCTAAGGAATGTCATAAATACAGAGACAACAAAAGAATTCCTTGATCTTCTGAGTTTTGATGTTTGTTTTTGTTGCCAGTTTTTGTAAACTTGTTTGTACTCTGTGGTCAGTAGGTTAGAAAAATTCGAGTTTTCTTTGAAAATTATTAATTTCCCTATTCCTAACCTCAAAAGTATCGTAACAACCTTGTAATAAATTAGCAATCGTTAGTTGATGATCGTAAGTATTATACTTTATTATCTGTTTTATATGTTAAGCTATATTTGTTCACAAGGCAAAATCAAATTAAACACAATATTAGCGATCTCCATAGCTCTTTATAATTTCCGAAGTCTTTATCGATTTTCATGTAATGAATGTCCCATAATGTGAATGGTCGGTTTTTGTATTTCTTTTTCTTATCATCTAGTACGTTTATTTTCAAAAACAAAATATATCATAAGATGAAACGTGAAAAGTTCTACATGATATATTAAAAAATCTTACTTTATATAGGCATTTTTTGTTTTCAAAATGGACGAAATTCTGTGTGATTAATTTTCAATGCAGTGGATAAGATTATTGATTGATATACAACGAATTCCTTTTTTTTTTTATTTAATCAATTAATGAATCATAGTTTTTAAATTTATTTTATTGCATATTATTGGTGATAGTATTCCACACATACTAGTCCGTAACATTGAGATCGGGACTGTTTGATGACCATCTATAATTGTCTATAATTTTATTTCTTTTTATTAACTGAGACACATATTACAGATGTGATTTGTTATAAAGAAGGTCTTATATGTGCCTCTAACAAAAAATATTAGAGTGACTGAAAAAAAAAATATAATCGAAACACATATCAATTGATCTAAAATTGGCCTTCGATATGATTCATCAATTAAAAAACTATGAAAAGGAATTTGTTGTGTACCAAAAAATGATCGTGTTCGTGGCTTCGATAGTTGATTGCACAGAAATTTGTCCATTTTGAAAAAAAAGGTGCACATATAAAATAAGATTTTTAATGTAACCTGCAGAGCTTTTCACATTGCATCTTATGGTATATTTTGTTTTCGAAACAAACGGACTAGATAATAAAAAAAAGAAATACAAAAACCGGTCATCCATTATAGAAAACTCATTATTGATACTTTATTTTACTATTTGTCGAACACAATTGGATGCACCATACAGTCAATTATTTATCCTTCTTCAGAAAGTATTTTTTTTTAACTCATCAATTTTGTTCTTTCTTTTTTTTAAATTTATTGTAAAATTTGCTTTGTTTTTCCTGTTTGCAGATATACAGAACGCAAAAACTTGGTTCAATTGAAACCAAGTTTCAAGTGAAATACGGCACGGTTCGAATTATAAATGAAGTTTATTCGATTCATAATTTGAATAATGCTTTATGAGAGCAACTTCAATTTGAACAAGCAACTTTTCAATTGAATAAAATCTTCGAATATTATTCATTTATAATTTCATAAATTTCAATCAAGAATCATCCTAAGAAAATTAATTTTTTATTTAAATTCAATACTAGAATGATCATACAGTAGTTATTCAAGAAGTACAACATTTGTTGCTCTGAGATTTCAATTGAAAAGATGACCAGTTAGATTCTTGAAAAGCTACTTCATCAATCCAGATTGTTAACCATTCTTCTGTACGTTTAAATGTAAGTCTCGTCATATCTCGTAATCGATTATCCCATTGTCGTTCTTTAAAGCTATCGAATCTTGGAAAGGTAAGATCGATAAGTTTGAAAGTAAGACTATGAAGATGTGGTAAGCAAATGTACAAGAATGGTACATTTTCAAAATCGATCGTATCAATTATTAAATGTTCAATCAACGGAAAGAGATCTGCAATAATACAAATATCTTTTTTTCGAAATATTTGTTGATTAGAAAAAAGACCAAAAGAAATATTCAGCCGTTTAATGTTGTTCTTCGTTTTGATAAGATCATACTGTTGATGAATTAACTGATTAAAATTGATTTGAAGTGAGGAGATATTTTCAATAAGTGCTATAAGCGAAGTAACTAGACGGCATTTCGTTTCTGTTTCTAGAATTATCAGTTTTTTTATTTTTGAAAGATGAATATGTGTCGTAATCCATTTGAACAAAGATAAATTAATATGATCTACTTTAAGATATTTGACATTTTCGAAGTAATATTGACTTGGTGGCAGAGGATCCTTGGCAGAAAGACGTAAACTAGTAATTTTATCCAATAGAAAGCAATTATCACTAATGGAACGTTCAGGAACTGTCCAAAATTGAATAGTCCCTGACTGAATCTCTGATTTGAAGTCAATATCAAATCGATGTTGTTGAGGATCAATTGGTTGATAGTAATAAATAATATTTCCGAAAGATTTACACATCATAATGAAGATATTGAAGTTTTTCTTTTCAATCCAAAATGGAGTTTGAAAAGATATCAATGTAGTATGAATACTATCAAGACCATGTTGTGATAGACGAGCTGCACTTATTTTCAAAGTAAAACGTTTTAATAATGACAATGATATCTCAAACAATATTTGCCAATCATTTGCATTGAAAAATCTATTATGTGAATTGATGACTTCCAGATGATGCAAATTTGGCATAATACGAAAATAATCTACCAATTGATTCCATGTTATTTCAGTATATCTATCAATAAAATGCAAAATGACCGTATAAAGTTTTGTTAATGGTGGAATATCGACTGTTGATGAAAAAGTATTCGAAAACTTGTTTGTAACTCGTACGTTCAAATATTTAAGACGAGGAGAACATCGAGATATATGCTGCAGTTCGTTCCATGTACAGCCATGTCCCGCAATAATCAAATGTTCAATATTAAAGAAAGTCGATTTATCAAAATCCCGTAGTGCTGTGTAAAAATTGGTATCGAGAATAAGTCGTTTGAGTGTTGGCAAAGCCAAAATGGTTGTATTGATAGAATTCAATATGCTAGACACCGATATATGTGTTCCTTTGATCGATAGAGTACAAAGATTCGAATTTGATAACGAGTGAAGAACTTCATTAATTTGATATTTGTCAACAGTTATGACATCAAAATCTAAGTGAAATTCACGAAGTTCATTGAATTTGTTCAATGGTGGAAACAGGGATAAAAAGATATTAATCTGTCCGGGCGTATCACATTCAGATAAAGTTAAACCTTTGATCTTATCAAAGTAATTTGGTAGACGATTAACACAAATCTGAAAATCTTTCTTACGAATACTAGTAAAATCGAAATGAAATTGTTGACATTGATCAATAAGAGCATTGAAGCGACTATTTAATTGATTAAAAAAAGCAACGAACACATCTACTGCATTGATATATTTCTCCAGAAGATCGACGAGTATTTCGTTAGGAAGTGATTCAAGTTTTGATACTGACATTGTTGAACTGAAAAGAAAGTGTCAATATACTTACGATATTTATAGTGTCACCAACACGTGTAGTTATGCAATAACATATCAAGTAGTGGTCTTTCTTCTATACTTCTTGAGAAGTAAATGGTGAAAACAAGACATGATTATGACCAAAATCTGCGTAAAGGTATCATCATAGTGAAGGAATGAAGTATGGCGATGACATAGAGAAGAGGCACACTTTCTTTTGCTTTGTCATATCTTATTATTGTTCAGATTTTCTTCAGTAACAGAAAGTACAGAATGTCTAAAAACGTTTTTCCCGAGGGGTAACACGTTGATTTCAAATAGCACCCATCAGAGGTCCAACCAGGCTACATTTTGAAGGCCTGTACGGCATGTCAACTTTTTCAAGCGAATAAAATAATGATGACAGACTAGAAATCAGAGATCCAAAGAAGGCACTAAGGCTACTATCTTACCCGAGCCTGATCTGCCTGTCGTAGGTACAGGCCGCAATTTTCAGACCAGTGTCAATCATAGGTGCAAGAAGGTTGCTGACCTGTCACTTACACTGGTCTAAAAACCGTGGCTCATGCCTATGACAAGCAGATGAAGCCCGGATAGGATACTAGCCCTAGTGCTCTCTTCGGATCTCTGGTTTCTAGTTTGTTATCATTATTTTATTCGCTTGAAAAAGTTGACAGGTGGCATAGACTTCGAAAACGTGACCTGGTTGGACCTCTGGCACCCATAACAGATTTTATACCAAATTAAAGCGCGTCAAAAATGGGATTTGTCAACACTAAATAATGAAGAATATGACAGCTTTTCAATGTCGAATTTAGGAAATTTTGAGAATTCGACAGTGAAAACCTGTCATATACTGATAAATTCTGTTTTCGACGCACTTCAGTTTGACAATCAATTTGTTATGGATGCTATTTGAAATCAACGCGTTAGCCTCCCCCCCCCCTCTGGGGAAAAACATTTTTAGATACCCTGTATTCTCAAGTATTGTTCATATGGAATCAAGCATTTCGGAAACTTTTTTTGTACCGAAAGGTGTTTCCCGGAACTCTCTACAGTACGCGATGTTTTGGAATAATTAACGTGTCTAATTTTCATCATATCTCTATATAATTGATTCTGCTTCCAAAAAACAAAAAACAAAAATAGACATATGAAATAACCAAAACGCAATTTCAGGTTGCCTCATTCACAAAAAAAAACGTGCTCAAAATGCTTGACTAAATATGAACAAAATTCGAGAATACAAATTGATCTATGTATATCTCCTGAATCACCAAATACTTTAATCGATGTCTCTGTGCGCTTTCTATAATTTTCACCGAGAGTCCGCAACGATGATAAAGGCTTTCAATCAAATGCATCCAAGTACAATGCGTGAAAATCAGATGTGTGTAAAAAAATCACTTTCACGCCTCACCACAATCACTTGTCCATATTGAACATCGAGAAAGACGAAGCAAAAAAACAGAACAGCTGATCGATCAAATTCATCCAATCTAATCGTGTTATTCTTTCGAAAAGAATACAAAAATAGATCTAATTCTATGATTTTCTGCACTCGTGGCATTATTTAAATCGAGAGCCTACAAAAAAGCATATCATTTAACTACGTAATTAATAACATATGTACGAAAAACACAAATTCTTTGTATTCTTTATTCTCTGCTGTGTTTTATATAGAGACAATACGAAAAAGTTGAAAAGCATTTCCATCTAATCAATCATCTCTAACTTCGTTATTCTGCTGAAAACAAAACATTTTCTCTCTATTTCATCTTGTCGATGCATTTCACAGAAAGAGATAATCGAAAAAAGAAGAGTCTTTCAATAGAATAGCTAGTAGATAACTGCATTCACTTTATTGTATATGAATAAAAACAATTTTTTTCTTATGAATAATTCACATTGCTACATTTTTTCACATGTAGAAAATATAAAAAAAACGAGAAGACCCTTTCAACCCAATCTTTTACAGGTAACTACTCTTATTGTCGTCAAATATAGCAAAAAAATAAAATGTAGTTTATCTCCGTTGTCTACGTGTATTTTTTCATAGTTCGAATAGAAGAGAGACGTCTATCGATTAAATTTGTCATATGCAATTGCGCATAATTTCATTCAGATATAGAACAAAAAGCTACTTTTGTTTGTTGAGTCACGTACGTGTGATTTTTCTCATGTATTATAGAGAATAGGAGCCTATTAATCAAATGTGTCATAGGTATTTGTACATATTTCCAATCAGATATAAAGCAAAGAAAATTTTTTTTGTCTGTTAGGTATGTCTGTATTTTTTCTACAGACAAAATTAGTAATTGGCTTCATTTTTCTTTACGTATAGAATACGAATAGCACTTTATCTTTATTTTACTTTGAAAAAGTAAAGTAATGTAATCTATTTAGATTAAGTTTATTGTTGATTATCATTGTAAGGCAGAGATTTTCTATTAAATTTCAAGCATCGGATTTTTCATCTTAGAAAATAGACTCCTATGATAGTGCAATAAATGATAACCCTTTTTCGTTTCCCACTGACTGTCAAAACACGTTTTCAGTCCTACTTGTTCCGCAATCTTTTCTCTCGCATTTTTTTATTGTGCTGTCAGTCTCTGTTATGTAGTATTCTATGATATTTACTTGGCTGGAAAAATTGTTTATATCAATTGTAAGTTAAGTTTATACTGTTACATCATCTCCTAATCTGAACATCACCATTAGTTTAAAAAGGAATCGATAATATGTATTTTTATAGATTTGTCATTAAATACAAGTCATGAAGAATCTTCTTATTGTTATTGTCTTGTTACTACTACTGATTATTGGTAAGAATAGTCAATTGTATTGTCTCTACTAATAGGTTTTATTGACTTAGATCACTTTGGTCTATTAACAACGGCCCTAGTCTTCAGGTCTGGGAAACCAAATAATCTAGGTCCTATTCGAGATACACCTCCTTCGTCACCTAAGGATTATGGTCGTTACAAAAAACCATTTTATGTTGTTGATTATTCATGGGTATCACCATTTTTGGTCAACTTTTTTTCATTGAAAAATTGGGATTTCAAATCGATTTCTACACCAAAATATTTCATTGCCATTAATGTTGTCAATATCAATTATGAAGCCAATGCTTTTCTCTATGTTATTGATCGGACAAATGCCAATCAAATCTATAAATATTCATCAAAATCAATTCTAGCAACAGCCATTAAAGAAAAAGCTAAATCATCAATCAATGGTTGTACTCACTATCGTCGATCGAATACTGAATATATTCGTCTATGCTATAATTCTATCGAGAAAGCATTCCAAATTGAAGCAATTGTTCCAGTCAATGGTGGAGTTCAATTGTCATTGAATTGTAAAATGCAATTTTCTCAAGAAACCGACGATTCAATGGTTCTATTATATCCAATACAACAATATCGTCCAGCTTATACTCACAAAATCGCCGCCAGACCTGTTCAAGGAACACTAAAAATTGGTAATCAAAATCAACAATTGATCGATGGTCTCGGTAGTGGAGATTGGACATTAGGCTTTTTCGAGCATACAACTAAGTGGAAATGGTATTTTCCTTTTTAATGAATTTGTCTCTTGAATATTGTTCATTCAATTAATATAGGGCTTCATTATCAGTAGATGGAATAGATTCTGTCAACGGCCAATTGGTAAGAATTGGTATCAATCTTTCCGATGAACTTTACAATGATAATAATGGTATTTCAATGGAAAATGCTATTTGGTAAGTCATATCGAAAATAGAAAAATATTTGACAATTTTTCATGCCCATAGGATCGGAAATCGTGTTTATACTGTCGATAAAGTTATCTTTCAATTATCAAGTCAACCTTCGCATTTCGATTCATCCATCGATACTACAAATAGTCCAATAGTTCATCTGACTTTTCAACCGTGGGGAATTTACGAAGAACATGAACGTTTGTTGCTCATTAATATTGACTTTGTTCAACCATATGGAACTTATAGTGGAACAATTGAATATCTTGGTCATACATATCAGATCGACAATGGTGTCGGTGTGGTGGAAACTATGTCTGCTATATGGTGATCAAAATAAATTGACAATTCATTCTGTTCTTATGAAACTCATCATAAAAATTTTGTTAGTGCACCTCTTTTGAAGCTGAAAACAGTTCTTTTTTTCAAGATAATCGATCTCTAGAGCAAGGATTTGTTTTATTTATTTCTGTATTTCAAACAGAATATTTTTTTTGAAACGTTCTATTTTTTGTTTGTATTATTGCTATCCGCTAATAAATATTGAATTAAACGACAAATAAGTCTATTGTACAGCAGCAGATCTTAATGCACTATTATATATCTCGATCAATTCACAAATATTGATATGTAATTATGTTCCAAAACTCTTATTTGTTTACATGAACAAAGAGATTTATCATGAGATTCATGATATATTTGATGAGTTTAGTACGGTTTTATATGTTCGAAGACCTTACTCGAAGTAATATAAAAGATAAATTTCTACGACATACTTAGTTATATATGCTGACAAATAAGAACGTGGATCCTCTCTTTGATATGCATTGTGTCTTGGCTATTTTTGCAACCAACGTATATGCGTTGAGTATGAGCAAACAATCAATGAATAAATGAGATGTACTGCCATGAGTGATAATGCAATAATCAATATACAAGATGTAATATTATTTGGAACTATTAAAATGGAGCAAATGAAGTCTAATCTTCTGATCCGATTCGAAAAAAATATCATTGAGCATTTATGTTTGATACCGAATATGATGGAATTGATTTGTCTGCCGATAGAGCTCGTGCTCATGATGGAAAAGTAAATTTCTTAGATGCTCTAGACAAGCAGTACATTTGCCTAGCATTGAATCAGCATACTGGATATCAATATTGGAATATTTGATACTGATAATAGTGTTCAATAGGAAATGGATGTGTATTATCCAGTAATGTTCTTAGTTCAAATATGAAAACAGACTTAATTGTGCTGTAGAATATTCGAAAATAGTATTTTAAGTTACAATGGCGGTCACACAAAATTTTATTTTATTTCACGTTCTGACTCGAATTAATGATGTATAGAGAAAGGTAGTCTTATTATTTCGCATTATTTTCATCGAAGTACTTAAAAATAAAACTTTCTGTTTAGTAAACAGTCTTGATAAGACTTAGCAGTGTTTACAAAATAATATTCTTACGAAATAATCATCTAATGTAACAAACGAGAAACTACAATGATCATATTCTTTGTTTGTGAGTGTCTCTGTTGATATTTAATGTAGCTTAAATTTGATAGAATCTTGAATAATTCGAATCAATACATTATTAAAGAAAACTTATAAGATTTCAAGAGTCAATTTCTGAATGTTATAAATTAATAATGAAATAATTTTATTTGACTATATGAGGTTTTGATAATTTTTTTGCTCCATTCAGACATTCTGTCTATAGAAAAGATTGAAAACGAGTGTATTCCATAGAGATCTGATAATGACAATATTTCGAAAGTACTGATTACAGAAAATTATCTGAGAAGATGATTATGATTTTCATCGATAGTTTAGCTGAAATATCAATATTAAAATCAAATCTTGTCTTAATACTTGGAATAGTGTCTTGGAAAAATTGTAAGCTTAATTATAGTTATAATATCATAAAATATGAACTCTAAATATTTTACTTTATATGGTGATGATGAGCTCATTTCTTTATGCAAATATATCCGCTATACAATTCATACTTGTGAGAAATGATTTTCGACTGGTCGTCAACAGTTTACACCATCGTCTCTGTAATGTAGGGTTGAATGAATATCTCAAGAGATCGCTGAACTTCTATGTCGAAGCTACTATATTTATGATATACAAAATTCTTGATTCTAATCAATTCTAGCACTTTTTTTTCAGTTTATGTTATCCACAGTGTTATGTCTAGCGTCGAGGCCGAGGGACTGGTAACCTTCTAAAGATAGGATTGATCCTCTCGTAGTTTGTGATTCTGCCATGTTCGATGTGTCTGAGCTCTCAAAAATAGATGTTCGCCCCTCCGGAAGAGAAAATCTGATTAAAATACTGGTCATCAAGAGCAGTAATAACATTGAATAGAGTACTCAAAGACATAGTCGAAATCAAGGATTCAAAATACCGTAGATATACTAGTTTTTTTTACAAAAATTCATATTACAATGCATCGCTATACTCTCAGATGTCTTCAAATATTCTGTTTACCAACGGAGAATAGGCCGTAAAATGATGTTGAAAATACAAAAGTTAAAAAAAAAAGTTACAGTGAACAGAAATAACGATTGGAATATTATCAGAGAATATCTGAAACGCTTCATATTTCATCACTGATGCCTATTACAGAGATAGAATCGGTCTGAGTCTTTGACACTCGGTAGTGGTACCAGTCCGAAAAGGTCAGACCGAACCGTACCAGCTCGTGACCAGTTTCATTTCTGATCTATAGAATGTGAATGTATTCGTAAAAGAAAGATCTCATCTTAATAATATCTGCTAAGTAAAACATACATTAAAGTGCATCAGTATGAAGAATAAATAGCTAAATATCTTGTTACTGTATATTTGACTCATATTTCAATTGTTGTACTATGTAAAAAAAAAAGAGTTATTTTTGATAGAACTGATTCTTATGCATCAAAGAAACAAAATTTCATTAGCCAAATATGATTCTCTCACAAATTTTATTAGTTATATTTAAACAATAAAAAAAAACGAAGAGAAAAAAAAACTTAGATGTAATTTATCGTCGAACAGTATTAGCCGAGCCAATAGCTGAATATAAATGTCTTAATTCAGCAACATCATTCAATGATTTAAGTTCAGCATCATGAAAAGGATCATCAGAACTTAATGTTCCATCAAATGTAGCAGCTAAATCATTAGCAGCTGCTGAATCACAGTTATTAAATGACTGATTATTTGCTTTGACTGAATTAGGCGATGAATTTGTTGAACGAATTGGTGTTGGTAAATGTAATGCATTCGATGTTGATGTCGATGGACCACTTATAGGAACAATATTTTGTTGTTGATTACCGGTTGGCCAATATATATCACGTACAGAAGGTAGACGATATGATGGTTGTATTGGAGGCTTTATTGTTGGAGGTGGAGGAGGAGGAGGAGGAGGAACAGGTGTTACTGGAAATGATGTGACAGGAATCGGTAAATGCAGCGTAGATTGAGAGTTCGATATATGCGTTGGTGGAGGTACCGGTGGAAGAACTACAGGAAACGGAATATTTTGCGTCAGTGTATTTGATGAAATTGATATTGAATTTGTTGTTTGACAACTAAATTAAAGACAATAAGTGACCCATAAAGAATGAAACTCTCTGTATTTTGTCCATATATCTTATATAATTCGGTATAGAAAAAGATTTTTCGTTCAATTCTAAGCACAATGTTCAAAGATAACGTTTTTGAAGAATTTTGTTTTACTACACACATCAATTATTGAATCATTATTTCTTCTTGATGTCAACCTTTTCTAGCTAATGATCTTAACAAATTCATTCCAAATACAATAATCGAATGAGTTTAAGATCAAGATCAATAGGTGATCAATGATCTTTGTCGATAAAAGTTGGTAAATTCTCTTGACACTATTTTATGTTTTCTTTCCATTGCATTTTTTGTGCGAAAGCAAATTTCAATAATGAAAATTATAGATTTACAGAAAATAGTACTTTTGAAATAGCAGAATAGTGAATATTCGACGAAGATATTTCGTCATTTAAATTATATACTTGATTTTAACGATAGCACAAAATGATCGATGAGATTGCATCTATCAATTTGTCAGCATCATCAGAAGATTTCAAGCAGAAAAGTTGCTCTTGAATTAAGTATATCTCGAGTAAGTATTCAACGAATTCTTCGAGACGACCTTGATTGTCAGCCCTATAAAAACTTAATGACACCAATTCAAAGCAAAATAAAAAATTTTGCTGATTGAATTCGAACGAATTTCTGGAAAGAAGAAACAATAAAGATCTTGTTTTTCTGACGAGCGGATGTTTTATATCGATGAAAGAAAATTTTCTCAAAAAGCTATGGTCTTACTAGACGTTTGTTCAAGAAAAGTCTCGTCATCAGGAGTCTTCAATCATGCCCTATATACCAAAGAGGTGCTTTCTAAAGCAATAAAATACAGGAAAAAGGTCTTCGGAAATGATTGGCTTAGCTGAACAAGACCGGTCGATGCCACACATTTATCATTTAACACAAATATGATGTCGAGAGAATTTTTCATCGTTTATCGACAAAGGCCATTGACCCTCTAATAGTCCTGATTTTAACTCATTCAATTAAATTTGTTAAGGTCATTAACTAGAATAGGTTGACACGAACAAAACTAATGATCCAAAAATTGAAACATGCAGAAAAAAAAGTCGTCAAAATGTTGTCTTTGAAAGTTACTGCTTTTAGAAAAGATCTAGCCTCCTTAAAGTGTACAATTTCGAAAGGGTTTCTCAAGAGTGTTTACTATAAAGAGACCCATTTTTTTAATGGCTGATCTTGTTATATTGATTTACTTTGTTGCAACTGCTGCCGAATGTGATGTTGATTGTTGACGTAAAGTATCATCTTGAATTTCTTTCTTTTTACGTTGTAAATCTTCTAAAGCTTCTAATAAAACTTTATTTTCTAATGCAAAATCGATCTAAATTACAATAAAAAAAAAATTTACAAATTTTATTTTCTATATTTAAATATTACCGGTTTAGCAAGAATATTACGAATTTTAGTTATATCATATTCAGGAATATTTATATTAGGCTTAAAAAAACGAAAAATTTCATTTGATTTAAAAAAGAAAATTTTCTTAAAACTTACAACAATAATAGTTCGATATTTTGGATTAAATTCAAATGGTATATCGTCTACAAATGATTGTAAAGATGATGCTGTACCATTATTAATTGAATGATTATTTTCATCATTAAATAATGTTGAATATTTTTCATATTGATTTTGTTTATTTCGACTATTAGAAGATTGATTCATCGAATAAATATTATCAAAAAAAATCGATTGATATATACATTCAAATAAATAAAAATTAATAGATTTTCTTTTTTGATTCTTATTAAAACAAATAATTTCAATCTAAAATAATTCAAATTAAAAACAAATATATTTATTTATTTATTTATTTATTTATTTATTATACACAAAATAGCAATAAAAGAAATGAATACTGTACAATAAAACAATATATGAATATAATTATGGCATTGACTATATTATGTCAATATCTGCCAAACCAATATAAAGAAGAAGCATTTCTAAATTCTAATGAATATATAAGTGTTGTTTCTGTTTTTTTCTGTTGAAACTGTTCATAACGAAACAAAAAAAGAAAAATAAGATTAATTATAATGATGTTTTAAGCCTTTGACAAGATTCGTCAGACGTTGAGTTGTATCTATAGGTGATGATGTTGATCTATCGAGTTTATTTTTATTTGATATAAGACGATGTGATTTTGAACGAAGATCAGACGATGGAAAATTGTATAAAAATGTTCCTATGTATTAGAATAAATCTATTATGTATTTCAATATAAGAATTTAGGATATATCTCAGATTAAATTTCATCAAACATTTTTTTCTCCGCCTTTTTTATTGTTGAACTGTTAAAAAATACAGTATGCGCATAGTCATGCTAAACAAAAGTCATTTTTGAAATTAAGATTTTCTCTAGATTATCGATCATTCTAAGTTCAATAATTATTTATTTATCTATAATATTTAAGACAAAAAAACTTCTCAGTAAAATTCTTATTTGATATGAAATGTAACAAAGATTTTGCTAAAGACAAAAGAAGAAAAAGCGAAAACTCCATACTTCAGTATACTACAAGAATATGTCAAAGCTATACTTTAGAACTTGTCAGCCACTTCAAATCTATTATCACAAGTATATTCATTTGAGTTCATCAAGTATTTAGAATTTATTGCCTGAGATTTATAAACTAATATGTTCATGATAGTAGACGGGAAATAGTTCGAAAATTTCAGAAGATAATTTACGTTTTTTTTTCTCTCGGGTTGGCTCAAGATCACTCAAATGAAGTGTAACATTTTCAATGATTACGTCTGTTATCTCTATATGTGATTCTTCTCTTCTGTCATGGTCGATACACTTGATTGCCTTTCGTTTTTTTTCTTCTATTTATAAAAACATATGTATATAAGAGAAATACTACAATTTTTAGTTTAAGAAAACGTCAATTATAAAAATATCAATATCTACATCTGATATATATCATTGTGCTTAAGTTCGTCTTTGACACTATTTAGAGGAAAAATACAGTTAACGAACAAGCAAAACATAAATTTCATAATAATTGTGGATATGCAATAACTGCGTTCTTTGACTATTCATTTTGAATAGTCAAAAAGAATTTTACATGTAATAGTGTTCATTAATTCAAGACTTTCTATCAAAAATTAAAAAAAACTTCTGATATGTTATTTTCGATGATAAATTATTATTTTTTTTTTTGTACATCATTAAACATTTTTTATCTAATAAAAATGCAAACCTTGATCATCATAAAGAATATGTTTAAGCATTGTATTAAGATTTGAATCTGATGGTAATTGATATTGTTTTCCAGATGATCGACATTCAATTAATTGATTAAGCCATTGTCGAACTATTGTTGTTTTTATATTGTGTGCAGAACCCGAAAAAAAATCTTCTAAAAATTCACCTTCAGATTGAAGTTTTTCATATTCATAAGCTAAAATATATTTATTTAAATATTTAAAAATAAAAAAACCAATCTGAAAAGTTTACCTTGTAAAAGCATATCAAATATATCTAAATCTTTAACAAGTTTAGCTTCAATTGTTTTTTGATCAGCATATTCATTAAATAATGAAAATATTTCTCTACCAACATCAGCTGGTAATAAACTTGTTAAATAAAGCATTGCTTCAGTTTCTCGTCGACGTTTTTCTGTTTTAGGTACACCATCAAATTCAGTTAAATCTCCAACAACTGATTCAGCTAAATCATGAACAAGTGCTAATTTCATACAACGAACTTTTGATTCTTCAGATATTGTTGGTAATAAAAGTGACATAACTGCCATTCGATACATATGATCAGCAACACTTTCAACTTTTTCGACGCCACGTATTATCCAACCCGTACGAAATGTTCGTTTTGCTTGACCAATATAAAGAAGAAATTCCAAAAGACCTTCAAGATCCGTATTCATCTTAACGTCAAGTTTATTTTTATGTCACACGAGAAGAAAAAAACTTTTTTTTCATAGACATTAAACGCCAACCAAATTTTAGTCGTCATTTTTGATTCATATTTAACTACCAATAGAAATATATTAATATTCATTTTATTATTATATCAAAATTTTAATAAAAGTTTATTTTTCAAATATTCAAATAAATAAATATTACTTAATTATTTAATAATATATTGATAAAGTGACATCTATAGATTTAATACATCAGTAAACAAGGCGAAGGCAAGCAACAATTGAAAAAGAATATTTAAAATGGTTGTTCTGATTTAGATAGAAATGAAAAATAGTACTATTACGATGAAGCCTTTTAGCATATTTTTCTTTCTTTTTCTTCTGTCTCAAAGATTGTTCGATTGCATGTACATTGTTATTAGGTTTGTTGTCGCGTGTCAAAAAATAATGTAATGATGAATAACTATATAACGAATCGGCATTTATGGGATTTTCGACGAAACAAAAGACCGTAACGATAACAACAAAAAAATTACTGTATAAATGGAATTTTATTTGTTTTTGTTGTTACTTCTACTTTCAAACATACTTTTTTGTACGATATTCATAGTCGAACGATGACAAAAGGTAATATACAGATTTCAAATAAAAAGTACAATATTGATTTTATTGGACTCGTTTGTTGATGTATATATATATTCAAAGATAATGCTGTTGCATATCATTTTTTTTGTGCTGATAATATGTCGTCTTCATAAATAAAGTACAAGACATAATCAATTAAGGATAAAGTAAAACATGTCTTATAACAGTGACAATTCTGTACAGACTCGGATTTTACTCAATGAGCGAAGAAAAGATAAATCTAATTTCGAATCTGTACATTATATAAATTGTTTTGACTTGCTAATGGCGAAGTTCATAATGGATACTATTTTTAAAATGAATGAATCATGAACATGACAATACGATCGAATTTTATGTTGTCGCGTTTTGTTTGAGTTTCATTTGATTATATGATTAAATAAGTTTTCATGAATTCAATTTCCTTTCTCGGAATTATATACGAATGATTCGTGTCAGAAAACTTTGAAAATGCAAAAGAACTTGAGAACAACAATCCGATAGTTGAATTTTTTCAATTCAAAACAGCGTTAACCACCAATTATAATCATCGAATTTCTGTAGTTTTCCGAGCCTGAAACGACGTCGTTACTAGTAGATTCCGGCGAAAGTTCACAGTATTGCATGTCAAATGCATTCATTTGGACGATTACTTTTTTGTTCAATTTATTGAATATAGAAAATGAAAAATAATTGATTTACAATGTTTAATATCAACTAAATTTAACCGTTGTATGTCCTATTAAAAGTTATTAGATTTGCATGCACTTTATTTTGAACTATTCTGTATTCATTCATAATTTCATAAGATGATATTGTGAAAGATTTTTTTCTTTCCAAACAATTGCTATCCTATATAAACTTTATTTTAGAAGTACGTAGTTCAATTGAACATGGTAGAATTGTTTTCGTAATTTATTTTTTCCGAAAATCTTTTCGAATGAATTACGATAGGATGCGAGATATTTCTGTTCTAGTACGTGTAAAATATTTTATTATAGATGAATCTAATATTTTGAATAAATTCGAGTAGTTCTCTTATATGATTTGTCAACCAATCCCTAGATTCTCTCTCTCTCTCTCTCCAGTGTTTCATATTTTTCTTCTCAATTGAACAAAATAACTAATTGTGTCTATTAAATCTTTTTTTTTCTTTCATGCATTGTTTTCTTGCATAAAAAAAAAATATTTTCTTTATTAAAAGCTTTGAATACTTATGTTAAGAAGAGTTTAATCATGAAAAAAACAAGCCGAAATCTCATTGTAAAATGTTAAAGAAAAAAATTTTTTTTTTGTGATCATTCATCTATCATAGAGAAAATTACAATGTCATTATACATATCCAACTACATATTCTTTTTCGTGTGTGTTGATTATGGCGTATCATCAAATAAATGTATGTCATTTTCAACATACTAAAGGATTCAATGCTCTCTTTATTTATCCAAATCAGGGATCTTAGGTCATTTTTTTTTTATTTTTTTTTTTATGTAGAAAAAAAAAACTGTTGAAAGAAGTGTCTGTTTTTGTTAACATTTATTTGCTGTCCAATGTATGCAGACCAAAATATATAAGCAAGCATGAATTCGTAGTTTTTTTTTCTCTCTTATATTTACTATACATAGAGTGTAATGACATGCTTGAGTTTTATTTCGATAAAAAAATTCTTCTTTATTCTTCATAGAGAAAAACGAAACAAATTTAATATATATAATATATTTCGAATTTATTTGAACATCTAAGGTTTCTTTGATTTTTTTATTTATCTAGTATAGGTTAATGTATGTCTTAGTCGTCGAACCATTATTATTATCGTAGTTGTTTGTCGTCAAAGACAATGTGAGTTCAGATTTTATCGAATAATTATTATAATATGGAAATTTTCTTTTGTTTTTTTTTTTCTTTTAAGTTATTTTCAAAGATATCTATTGTAATATGTCCAATGGAATGAAGAAACAATTTTCAACTGTATCAATACGTCAGATACCACATATACGTCTTCATGATGATGGAAATATAGAAACACGATATGAATTTTTAAATAAATTAGGTGAAGGTTCATTTGGAACTGTATCTCGTGTTAAAAGTAAAGAAAATGATTTATTTTATGCTATGAAAACAATTATAAAAAAAGTAATTTAATTTAGTTTTCTTGTTGAATATTTTTATTCAAAAGAAACTTTTTCTTTTTTCTTTTTTTTTTATGTATAGCATGGCAATACTTCTAAAGCATCAATTCTTGATAATGAAGTAAAATTATTAACAGAAGTTAATCATGCTAATCTTATTCAACTTCATGAAGTTTTAGAATCAACTCAAGTAAGTGATTCATTAAAAATATTAATATTGTCAAAGTCTTTGAATGTTAATATCATTCAAAAAAGAAAAACAAGAGAGAAAATATTAACTAGACAAAAATAATAGAGGTTACTTTTTTTTTGAGATTTTAAATTATATTTCCACTTTTCAGAGAAGCAGACGGCGAAACCCACGATCACATCTTGCACTTACATATTTTCAGAAAAATGGAAATATAATTTTATATTTCGAAAAAAATTAGTTCATTACCCGCAGATTTGATGGAGATTTTCGAAAACGATATTCTCAAGGTATTTTCCTTTTGATTTAGACTTTTAATAGGATTAATTGATAGAAAAATTCTGCTCTTTCGATCTACACGAGGTCGAAATTTCTTGCTCGTTCTAGACGTTTCCTGATACCTCCAATTTCAGTCCATTAATCTGTAATCATCCGGAAAAGCAGCCAGATAGAGGTAATTCACGGTGGTGAATTGAACGATGATAATTATTTTTAGGTTCAAAATGATCTAACACTATTATCTCAATATTTTCAAAATGTCGACTCCATCGTTACAAGAAAGTTGATTGTGAAATTTCAGAAATATTGTGATGACAGTGTCAGATTATTTTGAGGTTCAAAAATAACTATTACCGTTCCATCTAGCATGATGAATTATTTCCTACCTAACTACTTTTGCGGGTCTCAGGAAAAGCCTTATAACTCTCGGATAGAATAAGCTGAAAATGTTGGCCCGTTTGCATCGGAAGGAAAATAGCCTTATAATACCTTTTTCAAAAATCTCCATCAAGAATTCATGTGAATGATAAAAACTACAGGTCTCTATGATCTTCCTATCAAGATAAATACTGAAGCACTTTATAATTTGAAATGGATAGTATGTCGTGTTATACATTTTAATCATACAGGGGATTGTGCTAATAACTCTTACCAATATGTTGAACCTTTTTGTCAATTGATAAATAAATTGCATATTAATTACTCCTGTTTCTTGACTCTTAGAGAAACTCGGAAAAACTTTGAAAATTGATCAATTGGTAATTTATTTTTTAGAAACTTTATTTGGTCGTTGAATTATGTGAAGGTGGTGAATTAGGTGGATGTGTTAAAAATATTGGTCCATTACCTGAAGAAACAGTTAAACAAATAATGTCAAAATTAATAAGTGCATTACATTATCTTCATAAAATGAGTTAAGTCAATTTTACTATTTTTTTGTTTTTTTGTTTTTTTTATTGATTATTTTCTCTTGTATAGATATTGTACATCGTGATCTTAAATTAGAAAATATTTTATTAAAAAATACTCCAACAAATAAAACAGATGAATTTGATATTCGAGTATATTTATTTGATTTTTTATTATAATAATCCATAGAAAATTATTTTTAAAGGTTACTGATTTTGGTTTAAGTTCAAAACAAAGTATTACTTCTACTGATTCACTTTTTAATGATTATTGTGGTACACCACTGTAAGTTTTAGATTTGATTTTATTCAATATATATATAAAATAATGATTTTTTTTTGTTCTTTCGATTAATTAGTTATATGGCACCAGAAATATTGGAAAATAAAAATTATAGTGCACTTTGTGATGTATGGGCTATGGGAGTCATTATGTATTATTTGTAAGAATATAAATTCGTTATAGATATTGAAAATATTTTGTGAAACACGATTAAAAAAGGAGTGTGGAAGTACATAGAGCAGAAATGTGTACCTTTTCCCAGGGGCCATCAAAAACCGTGACTAAAATCCATCGAGTCCAAGAATTTTTGGGCCCAGACCCGGTCGGAGCCGATGGACTCTAACCGTGCCAGACAGACCTCAAAGACCATCATAAACGAGCTCTAGAAACCATTACAAACTGTGACTAGAGCTCATCAGGCCCAAGAATTTTTGGACCCAGAACCGAATCCGGACCCGGCCGATCAAAATTTTGGATTCGAACCTGATTAATTAATCTTTTGCTGGAAGAGCCCATCGAGTCCAAAAAGTTCTGGACTCGGATCCGGTCGACGCAAAATTTTTAGGCCTGAACCCGGCGGACTCTAACTGTACAGACGAGCCTTCAGAGATCATCACAGATGATCTCTAGAAAGCAGTTTTATTGTATTTTACATTTTAATCTCATAGGAAGTGTGTTAAGAATTTTTATATTCCTAATAGAATTTGTGGTCGTCATCCTTATGTTGCGAATGATGAAAGACGTTTACTTGAAATAATTCGTTCACAAAAACTTCGATTTGATTTGGAAAAATTTCGAAATATTTCATCTGAAGGTTGTTGTTTTTTTTTTATTTAAATTTATTCTATAAATAAATAAGTAATTATTTTTCTAGGTCTTGATTTTTTACAAGGAATGCTGGTTTATGATACAGTTCATCGTCGAACAATGGGTGAACTTATTGTACATCCATGGTTAACAGTATGTTGTGTATTTAACTTATTTTTTCTTTTAATATATCGATTAATATATTTAGGGTCGATCCGATAAAGGACCAGCTAAAGATATAATAACAATGATGAGAGAATTTCAAGCTGAAAATGATCAACATCAAATAAAAATTGAAAATAATTCAACAACAGTAATAAATTCAACTCCAGATAATGTAAATTTCTCATTGAGTTCAAATGATCAATCAAAAATATCATCATCATCATCATCATCAATTTCACAGAAACAACAAGAATCATTGAACAATAATACAAATCAATCGAAAATCAATATGATTAGATCAGATTTACGTACTATTGTTGATAAAAATAAATTAAATTACAGAACAACAAGTCGATTAACAGCCGATTCTCTTAGAGTAAGACTTTGTCTTATTTCAAAATATATTCATCTATATTATTATAGACATTTCGTGGTTCGACATATGATATTATTGGTAATTCACCAAAATTTCGTGTACGAACTAAACAAATTGATACGGTATTTTACTTCTATATAATAACATTATGTATTTTAATTATTTAATATTTTCAGACAACGGATTTAATTGATTCAAGTCAAACATTTAATTCTCCTTCATTTGTATCTTCTTCGACAAATTTTTCGACAGTACGACCCAGTAACATTCGACTTAGTCGTTGTCAATCTCAAGCTGATATTGTTTTATCATCGAAACGTGCATCACCATCTCGACAACATTATCAACGAACTGTTTTGAATGGTACAACTAATATTAGTGTTTCACCTTCATCAAATGTTTTTAATTCATCATCAAATGATAATATCATAGGAAATATTTCTAAAAATCCACCGTCTTCCACAACTACTGCTTTAATGATGATTAATAAACATTATACAAATCATCCATCATCATCGTTACCAACTATATCTAATCATCAGCAAGATAATACAAAAAAATTATCTTTGTACAATAAATATCATACATAATATCAACTCTTGGTAAAGAATATCTGTTTTAAATATTTTTCTGTTTTTATTTTTTTTTTGCTGGTGATTATTGAATCTTTGTCTTTCTATAATTTGAATTGAATGATAAAATGAAGATGGGATATAAAATAAACTCTTCATATAACTTTCACTATATTGCCATGTTCGTTTATGATTCTGATCAATTTTCTCTACTTCAAATTATTTCGACAATTTCCTACTATAACTGCAAACACTCATTCAACATATTTTGACTGTAGACCGTTTTATTTTTTACTAAGTAATAAGACAACATAAACAATCCAATGTATACGAGAGAAAACAGTAATCTAAATTACAGAGATATCCAATGCGGTTGAAAATTTACCGGTGCCGTAACGCGGCGTTAGAAGAAAAAAGCTACTGCATCACGATGACTTATACAAAAAAAAGTCGTCACACCACTGCCGCCACCGTGAACATCTCTGGTATATCATAGCAATACACAAATAATTCAAAGATTTACTTAAAAAAGATAAGAATGTAAAAAACACTCGCACCTGAGTTAAAACAGAGAAGAGAAATATTGTTTATTTCATCTCATACAACAAACAACTAATAGTAATTAATAAACTTAATTTCAAAATATTTCTATATACTTTGAACCAGGTCTCGAAATGGGCCACTTTTTCATGGTCAGGCCCATCGAGTTTTGTAGGCTCACTCGAGTCCGAAGGGAATTCCATTTACAAAGATTTTTTTTTTTCTAATAGAATTTGGAGGTTACTCCGGTAATTATCAATGTACTTAGGAATAAATAACTCGCGTCATGATGAATTGAATTGCTTGTTGACTGAAACGAACAAACAAAAGTATGTGGTAATATGTTTGAATCAAATAATGATCATTATGCATAACTTGATATCGTAGAACACAGAGTTTTTTATTGACGTAAACCAATGAGAGGCAAACCATATTTCTGAACGAAAACTTCGTTTTTTTTTTCGAATTTGAAATTCTAGTGAGGTAGTACGCAGTCGAAAATAATCTGTAAATAGAAAGAAAAACAATTTTGATGACTAAAATCTGAAGGTCCATCTTTAAATTTTATAGGCATGAAAATTTTTTTCTTCCTGTTCACAGACAATTTTCGACTGCGCGTGTTACCTTAGTGGAATGTCAAAATCGAAAGAAGCTCGCACTCGAAAATCAATAGGATTATGCTTTTTTCAGAAAATGTTATAGTCTCCATGAATGCAATCATTAGTCACAGTTGAAAAGTTAGACAATCGTTTAATTTAGACGAATTTTTTTCCTAATCACATTCTCACGTTAACTAACGTATTTTATACACTACAGAACATTCCATAGGAACGAGACATATGATCGGTTTAAGCAATTACTACGACTGATTGTATCAATCGTACTTGAATCCATCTAGTTTTTCTATTGTAAAACTCTTTTAATAATTTTTATTATTTAAAAGAATTATAAAGTTCAGTAAAAACAAAGAATAAAAATGTCGGACTTAGCCATCCCAACAACAACACTTGGTCCCGCTCGATTCGAATGAAAATCTTACCTGGATCGGGCTGCCCATATCAAGGTCTGCTGTACATTTACAGTTAAATTCGAATTCATATTTTTTACGTAATAAATTCATTTCAAATCAGCATTCATAATGAACATACATTCTAAAGATTGAGCATGTGCACTTTTCATTATAAGAATCCATACTTTTTAGTGAACATTATTCACTACAAATTCGGTCCTGATACTTAGAAAAAGCAACAAATGATATTTTTCTTTTCTCCAAGGTTGATCCTTCAGTGGTATTCTTTTCAACGTTTCATACTGCACATGAAAATTCTTCATTATATCATCTTTTATTCTATACAAATTTAGCGTAAAATAGAAAGGCATTTATCCGTGAACATATGACTATCATGTCGAGTACACCCCTATCCATCCATAATTTGATACATCAAAGAGATAAAAGGCATGTGTGTTTTTTTTTGAGTGTGCAGTTGGATCATAAATACAGATGCAAATTTCATGAGACACAAGAGAGACCAATTAAACTTATCTATTCTATATTGAAATGATTTTCAATCAGTCGAACTGTGTTGCAATGGGCATTCTTCATTAACTTATTTGTCTTTCGGGCAGCATCCTTCTGCCTATAATCATTATGTGGAAAGAAAATTATAAGCAATTCAATAGACCTAACTGTAATAAACTATTATGCCATAAAAAAAAAAGTTGTCTTAAAGAGAAGTGCATCCCTTTCTTTGACAAATATTTAAATAATATATTTTTATTAAACGAAAATCTAATTCTTTTTAATAATGAAACGTATTTTATGTATAGATATATAATTCTATTAATTTTCCAAATTCATTTAATATTGTACGATTTATTAATAAATCTTTGTTACTCAACAAAATATTTCCATATTTGATTCAATTCGAATTATAAATTTGAAATTATACGCACTAAATTGGATTATGATATAAAGAAATGTTTAGTTCAAATCGAGTGCAAAACTCTTATCTACTCATTTTCTTGAACTATTAACATGATCAAATTTCTATTTTCTCAATGATCATATACTGTAATCATATAAAACAAAAACAAAAAAATTAAATCGTGAATCGTATAACTGTTCTCAACCAATTAACAAAAATTGTATGTTTCAGTGTAAAAACATTACAAAGAAACGAGCAACAGATGGGAAAAGAAGAAGAGATAAATGAAATATGAATTTCTCTCTAGGAAACAATGACTATGTTATCAACGACATTTGAATTATTTTTATATTTAATAACCAAAATAGATATGTGATTCATTCGTCAATGGATACAATGAAAAAGAAAATAGTTCAATGTGCGAACATGTAGAGAAAAAGAAACATTATCACGACTGATGGAATAATGCACATTGATGTTCACACATATTTGACTATACAAATTGATCATTGAATAATTCAAACTATTTGATTCGTCTTCTATTTCTTCTTTGTTTTCTCGCCTTGTTTCATCATATAAATTCTCATGCATCTAAGCGAACAAATGTTCACATATACAAATCTTATCTATCTTCCTTTCAATCAACTTTAAAATACGATCGTAAGTCTGACAACTGTTTATTACTTTTTTCGCAAAAAAATTTGTCATTTCTTGAGAACGATTTTCGTGTCTAGTTGGATATAGAATAGAATTACCGTAAGTAGAAATATTATAACCTAAAAAAGTATAAGAAAAATAGAAATAAGATAAGAAAGTCTAAGAAAAAATGAATTAGACATTAATTTATAACATTCAAATACACGAGGTTTACCATTTGAATAAATTGAAAATGAAACTGACATTTAGAATTATGCCTAATAAATAATTTTTTTCTATTCATAGGTATCAATTATCATGATGAAATTGAACTTTATTATTGTCTCGATGATTGCACTTGTCGTTTTCGGAATGATTGTGGAAAAGACAGCTGCTGGTGATTGTGATGGTAGTCGGTGTGGTTGCTATAAAGGCTATTGTTGGGCTTATGTTAATCAAGGACATGTTCAAGTAGGCAGCTGGTGGTGTTATACTCAACGATCTGGTGTAATGGGAAAACGATCAATGTGGCAGGAATGTTGTTCTGATAGCGATTGCTTTTGGCATCGAACCTGTGGTAATCATGTTCAATATAGAGGCGAAGAAGAAGAATATCGTACTGTTTGTTGATTTGATTGATTAATATTGTTAAATAATTTTTTTTTTGTACTTGAATATGATTGTCGTGAATTCAAATAAATATACTATAGTTATCATAAAAATACTTTTTCATTATATTTGTGAATAGAAAAAAAAAAGTTTTAATACATATTCGATAGTGAAAGTTTTTATCTTTTGAAGTGCGCAAATATACCATTTATAGGTCGTATTGTTTAAGAGTTAGAAGAATTTCCCAGGAACTCCTGATTTTGGATCTGGACAACGAAAAAAATGATTAGATGTTTTATTTGAATTTCCGGACATTCCTTTTGTTTCCTATTTATCAAGATATCGGAGACATATCAGATGTAGGAATTGATTTTTTCAAGCAAGGTTTGGCAAGTGGCAGCAATATATTTTATGAATAGATATTTAAGTTCAAACACTATTGAATGATCAGCTGTACCAATTAATCAATATCTTCTATACCTCCTGTATCTTGATAAACAGGAAACAAAAGGGTTGTCCGGAAATTCAAATAAATCATCATACGTCGAAAAAAAAATGCAACGAAGAAGAAAGAGAAAGTGATGGTTATTCGATTATCCCTACAATGCTCTCTATCATATTCTAATTTTATTGAAATCTACTATGCAATTCCTTCAGATCATGTGATTCCATTTCGAAACATGCATCATTGATGCATTTTGAGTTATAGAAACTCCTTTTACGATGTTGAGATGCGTATATTTACATTACTTTTCAAATAAATTTTGGTATGAATTATATGCCGACTGATGAAACTGATATAGAAGACAACGACAGTGATAGCTCAATGAGTAGTTTGGACAATGATTTTGTCTAGATGGGATTTGAATCGTTAAGTTCCGAGGCAGAAGTTACTGGTGATGACGTAGATGTACAAGCCTGGAATAAAATAGAATCAAATTCGGATGTTGAATTCTAGTGAGAAGCATCACGCTATGCAATAAATGACTCCAATAATAGCGAAGATAGAGCGCATAACATATTACGTGTAATCTGTTGCTTAAGAAAAAAGGAAAAGAAAGTGTTTTTCTACTAAGTTTTTTCATATCAGGTCGAATGTATTAGTTAATTAATGATTCTGAAGGATAATAATGACAAACCACAGAAGCCGCATATGCGTAATGAGTTCTCAGGAAATGCTATGCGGGATAATCGTGCGAAGTTTTTTTTTGCCTTCTAATTATATGCGAGATGAACGAGTTCATATAGGGACAAAACCTTTGTTGCGAATTAATTCTTTTATTCTTCTAAGAATTGCTAAATAAAAGTAGTAATGACATGTATTTAATATATGATGTCCTTAGTTATTTTGATGAATCTAAAAATACACATATTCTATTTAAATCATAATTCTGTATACACCAAACTTAAATCTGATGGGTTTGGATTTGAATTTGGTGAATGGTTAATAATTATAAATTCGTTCGTACATAATGACAGACAAAATTTTGATAGAAAGAAAGTTTATTGTGTACTTTTGATTTTAGAAAAAGTTTAATAATTTATTTTGATTACAGAACAAAACATTGTACAACTCTAATATAATCTGTTATTCAATATCTGATTCTTTTTTGTTTTTTGTTTAACTATAATTTCTATGAAATTCGATTATTAACATATATGAAATAACTAACGATATTAACAAATATGTACATTTATTTATTTCAACAGGTAAAAGCAATACTTTGAAAAAAAAAACAAATTTGAATTAAATTTTGTTGTTTACGAAGTTTTTTTTATTTTTTATTATATAAATGATTATTGTTCAACAAAATACATATCAAAACACGTAAGCTATACGCTATATTTTTTTAACGAAGTACGATCAATATAAGATTATTAAAATAATATTATTTATTTAAGTATGTAATGAATAAAATTTTTATTATTATAACTAAATGAAAGTTATTCAATTAAATTTAAATATTAAAAAAAAACATTAATTGTAAATGAATATAAATTTGATTGATAAAAATTAGGTAGAAGATATAAGGAACGAATGAGTTTTCAATATATATTATTGAATATTTTTCTTTTTGTCCTAATAGAAGAACATCTCATGTTGAATATATACAAATTAATCATTTAAGAGAAGAATATCAAATGAATAAGCAAAAACAATATTTTTTATTACTATTCAAATGAAAAGAGAATATTAGAAAAAAATCATTTTCCTATTTGAAAATTTTTGAAATCTAATTTAAGATAACAAATCTAAAAATTAGAGTTATTCCTTTTGTTTTTGTTTTTCAGATTTAAAAAATACATAACATGTAGGCTATACTAAAAGTAATGAGATTTATAGATAAAGTTCTTTTTAGAAAAGAATGATTAAAAGATTTATTTTAGTAATTATTGAAATTTATGATTATAGTTATGTAAGAAAAAATCAATTCGTTGGAAAAAGTTATGGAAAGATTTTTTTTGCTGAATCATCTTCAATTAAAAAAATCATGAACTTGATTTAAGCACTCAATGATATAATTAGGTGATATGTATTTCAACTGATCAAAAATAACCGAAAAAATCACCAGTGACGGTGGAGCCTGCAGGCCTGGTGAGACTTGAGCCTCACCTGATTTTGGCTTCTGTAGGCTCAGCCTTACCGGAATTTTGAATTTGAGACTTGGTTAATTGCCTGCAATCTCAATGTCGCTTGCAATAAAAATCTTATTTTATCGTAAAAACTGAAATGTGTTCTAGTTTATGTGAATGTTCTAATGAAGAAAAGAAAAAACTTGAATATATAATAAACATAGTAAGTTAACAATTTATAGTAGCATCTTTTGTTTACATAGAATGGTGTAGACATGAAATGAATGGTAGCATTATGCGATAGGATGCAGATAAAAACTAACAGAAATTTCCGAGATCATTTTCTCTTTTGGGAAAATAATTTTTTATTTCATGATGAAAAATGTACAGTCTTTAAAATTTTGTAAAACTTGAAATAAAGTGAGAAGAATTTTATTGTAGAGATATTGGAAACAGAAAAATATCAACAACATTTTGGTAAATACTCACAAAATCCAACTTCTCTTCAACATGTCGTATTTTCACAAGTAAAAAACAGTTGTTACTGAAAATTTCAGAACAATCTAAATATCCTATTAGCTATTTATGAGCAAATTTCCAGCTCGAAAATCCTTTTGTTTCGATTTTTTCTACAGGTCGAATATCTGATGGAAGAAACATTTTCTTTATGATAGTATCCCGCATTAGTAAAATGATTTAAAATTTCCGAGATGGTTTTACTAGATATCTTAAGACTATATTTAACAATATCACTTCAAAACCAAAGCCACACATCACTTATATGAATGAGAAAAGAAATGTGATACTAAAAAATGACGAGTCGTAAAAGGTTGATTGTTCGACTTAGGAGTAACGTTGATAATTATATTTTTATCTCTGCGTAATCAGTAAGGTCATATCAGTTCAGAAAAAATATTGAGTTTTGCTTATAAGCCGTTATAGTGCAGTTTATCGAAATTATGGTAATAGTGATTGAAAGGAACATTAGAATTTAAAGAATAAATAGTTCTTAGATATTTTACACGACACTAATAACTTTTGATGTCCTTCTTCTTGTTGATTGATTACTTTCTTTTAAGTGACTTATGTTTTCATCTAATCTTTACACTTCGACGAAAATAAACAATCCATTTTACTATTTAAATTATAAAAACAATTATTGAAGTGATTGTTATTCAAGAACTTTCTGCTAGGAATTCTATAACTATTAAATTTTAATGTAAATTGTTTTGAAAAGTTTGTTCATCTATTGATGCATCAATCTTTGCATTACATTTCTGAATGAGTGTTTTAGAGCCTTCTATTAAAACATTGTCTGCTGAAGATGTTGCGAATTAAAATAATTTTAGATTTTTCTCATGGTGATATTGATATAGAAAAATTGAAAGGCGAAGCATTTATCACTTCGGATTTTTCTAATTCTATTATTAATGCAGATTAGATGGAGATAAAACAGATCACGAAAATTTCTACTACTTGTTAAATACTACACATGTGTCATATTGGCAAACAAACATTTCACGAATTCGATAAATCAATTCGACTTTACTTAACTATACCAATAGTCACGGCCTGTCCTCGTGCTTCTATATGAGAACCTATTTTCAGATAAAAAATAAACTTAAAATAAGCTTCACCTAATTTTAAAACGTTCCACCGCCCCTGATTACGACTAATGTCTATTATAATCGATTAAGAATTGTACAAAAAACATCGATTTTAATTGATTTTTTTTCGTTATAAGTGAAAAAATCTTCCGCTGATTTTCATCGGTTTGCATCAATTATAATTGGTTTTTTTCATTAAGGTTTAATCATAATAATCAATGAAATTTTGATTTTTTCGGTTATTTTTGATTAAAATCGGTTGAAATATGATTAAAAATCGATTAAAACTGTATGATTACAATTGATTTTAACCCTAATTTTTTTTCACATGAGATGTTAGCAGTTTAAATTTCTTGAAGTTAAAACTCAAAAAGCCAAGTCAATTTTGATATTGTGCGGTAACATTTGTGTCCTTTTTGTATTAAATCAAAAATGATAAACGAAGTGACGTTGACTTAGTATTCATTCTTAAGAAAAACTAAAAAATCATTTTTAGATTCTACTACTAATACTTTTTAGTTGTCGGAAAATCATAGTTTTGCAATAAACGTTCCAGGCTACGCTTTTAGGTGTTTTTTCTTTTGCTACTCTTCGCTTTAAATGGATGTGGCGAAGAGAGAAAAATGAAGAGGTACAAGGAAATTTTTTGTAAGTCGAAAAGGTGAATATACAATTTTTTAAAAAGTGGTGGGCACTGAATTTGTCTTTCTATTTTATAACCTTTTGATTTGAGTAAAAAATACGATCTTGGCTGAAAAAAAGTGAAAAGTTTCTAAAAGTGGGGATGTGCACTCCTGCCCCTATGGCTATATTTTTCTGTCGTTACACATACCAGATACA